TTTATTAAATATTTTTCCACAAGTGTTTTACTGATACTCATGTCTTTTTCAATCTATATGTCATCACAAGATATATAGTCTTGGATACCAGTTTTTTGTTTTTTTTTTTTTTACAAAAAATGTTTTTGTAGGTCATTCCCTCTCCATATATAATAAGCTATCAATATTCTCCCTAGTGAGGTCATATTATCCCATTAAATAGACATATTGTTTGCTCTCAATGTTTTCAATCATTTGCTTTCATAAATAATGCACTGCTATAAAAACCTTGTATATATTCAGTTTTAGACATATGCAAGTATATTGTTGACTAATTCCTAGAAGTAAAATTATTAAATTCCAGGTGCCTATTTTCCCATACCCTCACACACATAGTATGTTAACAAATTTTGATATCTACCAACTCATAATATTGATTCTCATTGGGATTTTAATTTTGTTTTATTATGAAAAATACTGAACTTTAACAAACAAGGTTAAAAGTTTTTTGCATTTCCTTTTCTTTAAAATTGGTATTTCTGTACTTGGGCCATCTTATAATGGTTTTAGGACATTTGCTAAATTAAAGCAGCTATACACACCCATCTTGTGTGCAAGGGAAGGGCTGATATCAGACACACATCCATTCTCAACCTTTATGCCATAGCAATTGATTTAGATAGTAAATCTGTTTACTTAGTGTCTTATTACTGATAAAAATAAACACCATAAAATGATAGTATAAAATTCTTCATGATCTGGCTGTTATTTATCTCTTAATTCTCAGTTTTAGTCATCAACTATTTCACACTTCCCACCCCTGCACAGTGAATTGCTTCACACACCATGTTGCTTTCCCAATGCTGAATTTATTCATAAAATACACTTCTCTTAGTCCTCATTTCAATCTCCAATCTTACTTCATCCTTCACACACAGATTTTTCTGTAAAAGTTTTGCTCATCCTCTAGGATCAGTTAAGTCCTCTAGAAAGGAGTTTATTTATTTATTTATTTTGTTGTTGCTATTTTCCCTTTGTGGTTAATAAGAAATTTGTGGGCAGATATTTCAACACTGTCAATGTCCCTTTCTTCATCAAACTTTTCTGTACTAATTTTAGCAGTCATTGAAGACTCTTTCCTGAATCAATTAGCACCATTATTTTCTTTTTTTTTTCTTTCTTTTTTTTGGATCACACTGATGTGTCTTTTTGAGACGATATATATTTCAAAGAAAAGTAAATGAAAGTATATAATTTTTGAAGTCATCTTTCTGATGTACTGTCTGAATTTAAATTTTTAAATATGTAATTTGGCACACTGTAGTGTTTAGAGTCTTTTTACTTTTATTAACTAATTATTTGTAGTGAATACCTAGAAACAAACTTTCTTTTTTTATTATAAATTTTATTTTTATATTCCCCATAAAATTGCGACTCCCTTATTTTGACCCCAACCCCTCACCTCCCCGCCCCCAACCCCCCATAGAGTGTCTCTGTTTCATAGTGGTTTATTGATTTTGATTTTTACTTTCTTATGGTTATTCTTTTTCCTGGTCCCTTATTTAAGTTTTCTAGATTCCTGCTATGAGTGAGACCATCTGGTATTTTTCTTTTTTCTTTCTGGCTTATTTCGCTGAGCATGATTCCTTCCAGCGCCATCCATGTTGCTGCAAATTGCATGTGTTTATCTTTTTTGAATGCTGAGTAATATTTCATGGTGTATATGTATCACATCTTCTTGATCCAGTCATCTATTTTTGGGCATTTGGGTTGTTTCCAAAGCTTAGCTATTGTAAACAGTGCTGCTATAAACATAGGGGTGCAGGTGCTCTTTGGAATTGATGTTTCTGTGTCCCTTGGGTAAATACCTAGGAGTGGAATTGCTGGATCATATGGAAGCTCTATGTTTAGTAGGTCAAGAAATCTCCACACAGCTCTCCATAGTGGTTGGACCAGTTGGCACTCCCACCAACAGTGCAGGAGAGTTCCTTTCTCTCCACAACCTCGCCAACATTTGTTGCTAGTTTTTTTAATATGTGCCATTCTCACTGGTGTAAGATGGTATCTCATGGTAGTTTTGATTTGCATTTCCCTGATTACAAGTGATGTTGAACATTTTTCATATGCCTGTTGGCCATTTGCATTTCCTCTTCAGAGAAGTTTCTTTTTAGCTCTTCTGCCCATTTTTTGACTGGATTATTTTCTTTGTTTTTGTTGAGTCTCATCAGCTCCTTGTAGATTTTTGTGATCAGTTCTTTATCGTTAGTGCTGTGTGCAAAAATGTTCTCCCAGTCGGTGGGGTTACTCTTTGTTTTTGTTATTGTCTCTTTTGCTGTGCAGAAGCTCTTTAATTTGATGTAGTCCCAGCTGTTTATCTTTGCCTTCACTATCACTGCTTTGGGTGATGTGTCTGTAAAGATGTCTTTGATGTGCATATCATGTAGTGTTTTGCCTATATTTCCTTCTACGTATTTTATGGTTTCAGGTCTTATGTCTAGTTCTTTAATCCATTTTGAGTTGGTTTTTGTGCATGGTGTGAGGTAGTGGTCAAGCTTCATTCTTTTGCATGTAGCGACCCAGTTTTCCCAGCACCATTTATTGAACAAACTTAGAAAGGAGTTTAAACTACATCCGCATCTAAACTCTTCAAGTAGAGTTTGTTTCCACTCTTTATGCATTCAAATTATTTGTTGTAACAATTAGAGTTATCAGATTTTATGTCACTCTCTTCATTGGACTGAGAACTTATTCCCGAGGATTCTATTATATAAATCTTTGAATTTCTAGATGCAACATGTGTCTAACACACATAGGTACTCAATAGTATTTATTAAATAAATGATTGTATCCATAAAAGAAACTAGAATAACCCTCTCTAAAGAATTTGAAAAAAAAAAAAAAAAGGAAGAATGAAATAGAGGCAATGGCATACTCTTCTTAACTACTTCCTACCTTTCACCAAAAAACATACCGCTGAACATATGTATTTGGTTGGAGTATGGTTATAGTCAGTGGAGAATAAAATTGAAAATGAGAATGCACACCCATCAGCCTGTGTTTGTTTTCAAGAGGTTATTGAGATTGTAGAGCACACATCTGATAAACATCTGTAATTTAAAATTGCACAAAAATGAACTGTCTCGGAGTGTGATAAGGTACTATCAGAGCCTTGGAGGACTCATGCCTCTCCAGAAATGAGAAATAGTTTCATCTGAAATGAACTAATAAATCATGATGGTAATCACTATCCTCACAATAATGTAATTGCTATTTTGAGCAGTTTTTTATTTTAAGTTTTTTCCACTGTTAAGATGATTCAACTATTTGCAGACAACAAACAAAAGTACAAATGAGTGGGTGAGTATAATATGAAGGTTCTTCTCAGATGGTTAAAGCTATATCTCTGTTAAGGGCCCTTCATCTATATGTCTTGAACAGCTAGCCAGCACTATACTGGATATCTGTGAGGTCTCTCCTTGGGTTTAGGGTCCCAGAACATTGGAAGAATTATGGGAATCATATGTTCCCTTTTTACCACGTTATCATCATGGATTCAGCAACAGAAGAATTTAAAATGTTGGGTCTGAAGCTTCTCTCTTTAGGTTATTTAATCTCACTGAACTTTTGCTGAAAGCAACAAAGAAGAAAGAGGAAACACAGCATCCCCAAACTCTTAAAAGTGACTAGTGTGCTACCTTGTAAATGGAATATACTTTTAAATCCTGCCCTGTGAAACCAACCATTTTAAGTAGAGCACCTGATCATAAGAGAGAGAAACACAATTGAAATAGACTTAAGAAAAAATAGTGAAGAGAGGTTTTGTTTTATTTCCTTTGTATGGTTTTAAGACTATTGAGACTTCTATACTCAAAGAGTTAGACAACCAAGGAACTAATGCATTCTGGTCCTTGGGCAGTGAAAACCAGGGGTCCAATGTCAGCACTATCCCTACCCACACTCTCAGTTACTCTAAGCCTAGCAGCTTTCCTTTTTCTTATTAAAGTCAATGTCTTTACACAGTAGGAAATATTGACTCTAACAGCAATAGGTTCATCATCTCACAGCTTCAGACCAGAGAAAACAGTGCTTTCTCCACAGTGCCAGTCTAAATTATTCCCAAAACAGAATCCAATTAGACAGCCTCAGCTTGAGCCACATGCCTAATACTTGGATAAATCACTAGGACTAGAGGAGCAATTACTATGATTGTCTCAACTTTATTCATACTCATTCCTTTAACTCATCACTGAACTTTGACTAGAGTGAGTGTCAAGGGGGACAGAGGTGCTCCATGAGAACTACTGGGCTGGAGGTAGAGAAGAAGTAGGTAGGAAAAAAGATATCATCCTCAGTGACACTGATTTTATGGAACATTGTGTTCTCAGTTCCAAAAGTTCTCTTGAACTTTGTGAACTTGCAAGTTGGGGACCTCCTAGATCTGAATAATTACTCAAGGGGAAAAAAAAGACAATGGTTATGGGAGAGAGTGCATTATGTCATTTATCATGTTTTCCCTGTGAAGAACAGGCGTGGCTTTCCTTTGAGTTTCTGGTCTTTCCAATGAGGTTGCTTCCTCAGTTGATAGGCCAAATTCATTGCCCTTGAGGTCAAAGACCAAAGTCAGCCAGATTGTCAGCATTAATAAGGACACTTATAATAGAATCTCTGCTGTCCTCTGAGGATCAAAATGAGAAAATTCTATAATTTTAATAAATTATGAAATGCATGGGTTGTCTTATTCACAGGACAATATATATTACATGTAGTATAAAGATTTAAATTAAAACCATCATAAAGTATGTATATCTACTCTTTATATTTTACTGTAATTCTAAAATGCTTACCTTGAGGTTCACATTAAAATTCTCCCTAAGTTGAAATTTTTTGAGTAATTATTCTTATAGTACATAGGTATATTTTTGTTAGATAAATGCTACATAGAAACAATATAGTGTGCAGTATATTTTTATCTATTAATGCCAAAATAATATGAGGGAATACATTTCAAAAGCAATCCTTACCTAACTTGACCACATAGCTCTGCCCTCCAGCACCTGGGTAACTCATCATTTCTGAGAAAGACCTATAGGAATACAATGAAGGAAAAGTTATTCAGAGATTTTTGGCAGAGAACTCTGGAAAGAATTTTTAAAAGTCATTTCATGCAATTATTTTAAAAATGTTAAAAAAATAAGAAATCAGAACATGGAAATTTTCCCAAAATGTAAAATCCAAATCCAATAGTCACAACTGAAATGTAGTTCATAGCAGCTACCACATTCCCAGCAGCTTCCTAAGAAAAAAAAACATAGAAAATGAAGTAATTTTTTGCTTGTTAATTAAAAATGTCCTCCTATGCTTTTTTTTTTTTCCTTTCCCCTCAGTGTGGAAGAATGTAAGATTTCATAACCACAGACATTCAGCTTGCTTTTGATTGAGTCAGTCTATGCAAATATTTCACTATGCTGAAAATGAGGATTGGAAAAGAAAATTCTCTTCCTATTGCTGGCATTCTTTATGCACTCACTAGAGCATCTGAGGTGACAGCATGATCATCAGAAATTGTCATGATTTATGATTTAGCCATAATCATTCACTTTGCGAGTCGTTATACTAAAGAGGTTTTGTATGAGGAACACTTTATGTAACCAATGTTAAATAGGTCAGACTTCTTCATGTAACCTTTAACTTTTACTGGAACTGATCTCAGACTTGCAGCTTAGAGGAAACAGGTTATAAACCTTGCCCTGTCTGTCTTCAACCTTATAAAATGCTTCTGTGGGACACAAATGTTTTGTTATTTTAGCTGATGGTGAGAAACCCACTGAGATTTTTATCTGCTTTGTTGCAAAACTAAATTTAGCCTCATTGGGATAGTTTACTTTGGCCCAAAATTATTTCCTTTAGTCAGATACTTTTAACTATCCAACTCATCCTATTGGCATGGATAAAGTATTAAAAGGAATAAAAGATTCATGAACTCATGTGACTATCATTAATTCAAAGTAAGATTTGACCTCTGGGAACTAAAAATGAATTTAAATCCATAAGGTAACTGGTAACTCTTATAGTTTAAACAATTGCCTATTGTCCATACACATCACCCTCAACTTCTAGTCAGACATCTTATATTCCACAAGTTTAGAAAGTATGTTAAGACAAGTATGGCAAGTGCCCAAAGGAATGAGTGTCTTGAAATTAATTGTTTTTATTTTTAATGCAGAGAGGCAGTGATTGAGTGGAATTACTACATAGATCAGTGTTAATTTCTCATATTTTGATATTTTTCTTTTTTTATAACTAGCTAGATTGGACAGTGAAAGAAATAAAGAGAAAATAACATCAAAATAAAGATTAGAAACTTGTAGTTCCAACCCTCACAAAAAGTCATATGTCAACCAGAAAAACTTATTTCAGCTATCTGAGATCCAATTCTCTATTTGTTCATTAGTGATAGCTGTCATAATAAAGAACTATAAAACCTTATTTACTATGCATTAATTCAGTAATTATTAATTCATTATAAACTATATTTCTTGATCACAAAGTCCAATGAGAATATGCTTTATCTGTTGATTCTTAGGTGATGCTTGGAATTGCAGTTGCTACAAAGTAACTACGGAACATCCCCTTTTATTTCATGGCCTGTTATTTCAGAATGCTTAATTTTCTGGTGTGTATGTGTATGGGGGAGAGAAAGAAAGAGAAATTAGAGAAAGTGTTAAAGACCCTGTAGGATGAGGAATCAGACTTTTTGTATTGCATTTATTTGGTGGTGGTGGTTGTGTTTTGTTTGGTTTTGAGATGAAAAACAATCACTTGTGGATCAAAGAGTCTTGTTTTTGTAGGGAGTTTTCCAGAATCCATAAACTATCCATGAAGATAATTCTTCAAACACACAATGATTTCAACAAAATAAAACAAAGCTGTTGGACATTTGCCCTACGTTGTTAGGGACAAAGGCGTGTCTCTCAATGAGAAAACCCTTTGCTATAGCCTAGCCCCATGACATGAGATTGCCTGCTGATTTATATCAGTTCTGATGCCAATCTGAGCCTGATCTTAAACTGCAAAGGGACAGTGTCACATCTTGAAAACTACTCATACTCTCAAGCCAATAGATTAACAGAGTTCTGGAAAACTGAATAGTTTATTAAATAGTCCTTATTTTATGCTAGGCACTGTTCTAAAATGTTTGTATGTATTAATGCAATTAATTCTCACTATTTACAGGTGAAGAAGTAAGGAACAGCAAAGTGAAATATCTTTCTCAAAATAACACCCTTGAAAAAAAAGTAGAGCCAGGAATTCTAACTCCCTTATTTTGATTTCAAAGTTCTTAATTGCATCACATGTTGCCCATGATATCAAATATCATGGTCAGCCATCTTCAACAACAAAAAAATCTGAACTGAGAGGGAATTTTTTTTAAAAGAAAATGATGTATGCACCCTGGAAAGTAAAGGATAAAGAGTTATATTTTAATTGCCAACTCTCTAAGATAGGTCTTCCAGCATCTATGATATAACGAGCTTGGAAGTCATCACTCCCATCTTTACAACAACAAAATGAACAAAATAAGGTTCAGAAACTCTTTTTTTGGACCTATCAGAGAGTGGAAGTTGCAGAGAAAACTGCCATATCTGTACAGAGAGGAGACTCCAGTAAGTAGGCTCTAAGATCTGTTTACCTGCAGAACAGAAACAACTAGGATTATAACTGGGACACTTAAATGGTAATTTTGAGAAATTGCCCCGGACTGAGTTGGATTTGCCTGTGGGAGAGAAACATCTAGTGGCTGCAGTCTTATGAAAACCCCACGTTTTATGGGCTTTACCTCCAGGAAACCCACAGGTCTTCTTGGTGAAGAACTAACAAAGATTTTTCTCTTGGTTCTTGCAGGAAAAAAAAATTAATTGTGAAATATAACTAAAGCATTCTCCATAACAATGGCCTATTCTCCAGGGAAAAATAAAACCTCTCTGATCCTTATCCTGCCTAAGAGGAGGACACTTTTCATGCTATCTGCCTCTAGTCTTCACAATTCAATTAGGGGGCCCAGCAGATGTAAGAAACACATGTGAAGGCACATAGTTCTGAGTCCATCAGGTGTCAAATAGTTAGGCACCATGAAGTTTGAACTTTGTGAACCTAGAACCTCAATAAAATCTTTAAATACCACTTGAAAGCCCCCTTGCAGGTATGAAGAAAGATCACTTCTATCTAACTCTTCAAGGAGGTATGGAAGAAATATAAGTCTGCTCCATATCCATTTGCAAGGGCAATGAGGTCCAAGTAGTTCAAGGAAACTACAAAAGTCAGCAAATTGGCAAGATGGTCCAGGTGGATAGACAGAAAAAATGTCATCTGTATTAAGTAGGTGCATCAGGAGAAGAATTTTGACACAAGTGCTCATGCAGACAGTCACCTGAGCAAGGTACTGGTCACCAGGTTAAAACTGGACAAAGATAGGAGAAAAATTCCACAATGCAAAGCCAAGACTGATATAAGGAAGAACACTGTGAGAGCATGCACAATTAAGTATAATCCATTGTACAACCACACTTTAACTGTAGATTTTTAGTTTAGTGCATAATATATTTTTTGGAACTATTCAAAATGTCTGAAAAATTTTATTTACTTCTTGCTTTGCTGTTGATCTGTGAATCTAAAGATGTTTTGACAATATTGATTAATATTATATGAATAAAAATTAGAAATGTCTCCTCAACAAAATATTTTCAAAAAGGAATACCTGTGAAGGTCACAGCACAAGGTCTACTGAAAAGAGATTTAATCACAAGATTACAAAATGGTTCCCCTCAGCCCAACTTCACATTACTGTCATGAAATCAGGGCTCCAATTTAGTAATAGTGGAGCAGCTGCTAATTTTGCAAGATATTGAATCTCTCTGATGAGTAGTACTTAGGAAAATCCAAACTCAACAGGGAGAGAAAAACAAGGACATTAGATGCACTTGAAGACTCTGGGACCTGTCTACAGTAAATATTAAGCACAACTCACTCCTACCCAGATTAACACAAACTCACACTAAAGGATTAGTTAGTTCATTTCCTACTTCACAATTCATAGTGGAAAGTACTTCAACAAAAATCATAAAGAATGCTAAAAGGTAAGAAAAAAAACAGTCTGAAGAGACAAAGCAAACATCAGATCTAAACTCAGATATACCAGAGATAGTGGAATATCAGACTGGGAGTTTAAAGTTATGGTTACATAATTAATATCTAAGGACTCTACAGGAAAAAGTGGACAGGATGTAAGTACAAGTGTGTAATATAAGCAGAGGTGAAGATTCTAAGAAAAATCAGGAGGAAATGGAGGAATTAAAAATCTCCACGACAGAAATGAATAAAGGTTTTGATGGACTCATTATGACACTGGACATGGTTGAGGAAAGAATCAGTGAATTTAAAGATAGGTCATGAAAAAATCTCACAAATCATTAAGAAGCCAAAAAGATATATCTAATAAGGAATCTTTTTAAAAAAAAATTTATTTATTTATTTATACAAGAACCGGGGTACAGTCCAGATGCACGGGAGGGTGAGAGGATTCACCAGAGATGGAGCAGGGAACAGAACAGGCAGACTGATGAAATACACTGCTGAGGGGAGCAGCAGGCGAGACAGGAGAGGTCTGCCGCACCATGTGGGACCCTTGCCAGCTGGCTGGGATCAAACTGGTGCTGCAGAGGCTGCTGATAGCTTCACAGTGCTGCACTCAACCACCTGCACCACCAAGGGAGGCCCTGATAAGGAACCTGTATCTAGGAAGAAGCTTAACTGGTGGTAAAAACAAATGAATGTTTATGAATATTTACCTCTATATGGTATTTGTCTTTCTTCTGACTTGTTTCACTTAGCATAGTTCCCTTCAGTTCCATCCATGTTGCTGCAAGTGGCAAGAGTCCATCTTCCTTTTTCAAGCTGAACAGTCTGGTTAGCATTCTTTTTGTACTTTATCTCTTTCCTTTTGCATTTTACTATAAGCAGTGTGGAGAAATGTCTTCAAGTTCATTGCTTTCAAGTTCTACTTGCTGACCAACAGAACAAATTCAG